CAATACAATACAATACAATACAATACAATACAATACAATACAATACAGAGCCTGGGTGGGCAGGTGGGCCCAACAACTGATCGTTCCAGCAAACCAAACCGGTTCTCTCCCAGCTAATCCTCGGAGCTACCAGTTTGCCCAAACTGGTAGAATCCCACCCCTAGTAAGGACATAGCAGGAGGGGCAGAAATCTCAAAGATGGCCATTATCTCAAAGATGGTTTTTATTTTCCCAAAAGGCAGCTGGACTTTTTTGGTTTTTATTCCCCCCTTGAGCACTTTTTTCCTTTATCCAAGAAGCTTCCTCAGTTCTTGGATGAGAAGAGAAACATTTTCAGAATAAAAACAAAGAAAGTCCAGGTGCCTTTTGGAGAAAGCACTTTTAGAGACCACCATGACCTGGATGATGGAGAATCTCCATAGACGTTCCTTGGTCATTATTTATTGATTTATTTAAAACCAGTGGTGGTATGCTACCGGTTTGGACTGGTTTAGTCAAACCGGTAGTAAAAAAAAAAAAGCCCCCAACGATCAGCTGAAAAAAGAGAAAAGCACAGGATCCGCCCTTCCACTTGCCCTAAGCTTTCATCTTCTTTATCCTCTCAGCTGATGTTTGGAAAGCTCTGTGTGTGCGTGTGTGTGTGTGTAAGGTGCGTGCGCACGTGTGTGCGATCATTAAACCAGGTAGGATCCCACTGCTATTTAAAACATTAACATAGATGCCCATTTTCTAACCAACTCTAACCAGCTCCCAACAAAAAGTTTAAAAAGCATTAAAACCATAACTGTAAACCAAACCACATGAAAAGCAATACAGGTAGTGCTCAACTTAACAACCATTCACTTAGTGACTGTGTGAAGCTACAGCAGCAGCTACAAAAAGTGACTTTTGACATTTTTTCACATATGATCCTTGCAGAGTCTCCATGATCCTGTGATCAAAATTCAGACACTTGGCAACGGATTCCATATTTATGACGGTCACAGTGTCCCATAGTTATGCGATCCCTTTTTGGGGACCTTCAGATGAGCAAAGTCAACGGGGATGCCAGATTCACTTAAAAAACCGTATTACTCACAGGTGGGATTCTGCCGGTTCAGACCGGTTTGGGCGAACCGGATGTTAAATTGACATGGTTGGTTCGTAGTTGAACCAACCGACCGGCCCCGCCCACCTCATCCCGCCCCTCCCAGGAGTCCCCACGCGGCCCATTTTAGATGCAGATAAGTGCAGGATCTGCACAGAGGCCCTGGAGAGCAAAAAAAAAAAAAACTAAAAGTTTTTTGGAACCGGAAGTTCCAAAAATTCAGAAACGGGCCTGTTTCCAGCTTCCGGAGGGCCTCCAGAGCCCGGGAGAGGCCATTTTCACCCTCCCAGAGGCCTGAGGGAAGCCTCCGGATTCTGGGGAAGGCAAAAAACAGCCGAATCGGAAGTTCCAGAAGTCCGGAAACGGGCCTGTTTCCAGCTTCCGGAGGGCCTCCAGAGCCCGGGGGAGGCCATTTTCACCCTCCCAGAGGCCTGAGGGAAGCCTCTGGATTCTGGGAAAGGCGAAAACAGCCCTCCCAAAACTTCCAATAGGCCACGCCCACCACGGCCACACCCAGCCAGCAACCAGACAGACAACCGGTTACTGGGATGTTTGAATCCCACCCGTGGTATGACTGACTTAACACGTGCAGTGATTCACTTGACAACTGGGGCGAGAAAGGTCATCAAATAACGCTTAAACTCGTTTAACCACTGTCTCGCTTAGCAACAGAAAATTTGGGCTCACTTGTAGCCGTAAGTCAAGCACTCCAGGTAGAAAAACCTAGCACCAAGTTAAACTTCTGGTGCCAGTCACCTGATCTTAACCCAGAGCAAAAAGCCAATTATGACCATGAGATCTCTTGTAGAAAGATTTTACCTCCGGTAGCGCAGTCTGAAGAGCCATTGTTGTCATCGGAACAGATCCACGAAGCTAGAAGAAACAACGACGACGCAGGTTAAGTCAGACAGCACAATTCCTTAAGGGTCTTATTTGCAGTTGACCCAAGTTTTTTTCTAGCTGATGTGGTGATTCCTTTGGATTGTACGGGCTTCTGACCACCGACCCAAAAGAGGAATCATTTTCACTCAGAAAAAAAAAAAAATTTACACGTTAAGCAAGAAAACAGAGGCATGAAACAGGCATATAGGATCAAGTTCACATGAAGTGTTAGTACTGCTTTGTAAAGCCTTAGTAAAGCCACACTAGGAATATTGCAACCAGTTTTGGTCACCGCCTTACAAAAAAAAGATGTTGAGACTTTGAGAAAAGTTCAGAGAAACTAAGAGGATCAAAGGCCTGGAGACTAAAACATATGAAGAATGGCTGCAGGATTTTGGTATGGCTACTCTAGAGAAAAGAAGAATTAGGGCTGACATGATATCAGTATTCCAGTATTTGAGGAGCTGCCACAAAGAGGAACTTATTTTCCAAAGCCCCTGAAGGCAGGACAAGAAACAATGGGTGGAAACTAATCCTGCAATTAAGGAGAAACTTCCTAACAGTGAGGACAGTTAACCAGTGGAACAGCCTGCCTCCAGAAAAAGAGAGAGGGGGGGG